CCGGAGTTTTACGTGATGGTTTATGCACCTTGACGGAAATAATACGTGTGCCCTCCGCAAGTAATAATGATTCATTCGGTTCGATTGTTGCCCCTCGCGGTCGCAGTGAGCGGGCAGGCGACTGGGCCCATCGAGTGAGCGAGGAGGTGGCGACTCGACATCCCACAAATAAGAGATCTCGTCGCAAAGGACGCAAAGGAAGAGGCAAAGAAGAAGGCAGGAGTGGTACCCATCTCAGGCAGGCTGAGAGGTGGCTAAGATATGTCATAACAATAGAGGAAAAAGCAGATCTGGAAGAAAGGTGACGAACGTGCAAGCTCCAGGGTGGATACGCAGAGGTAGGCCTCTTAACGACTTGGTTCAAAGTGGTGAACCAGGATGTGGGAATTACCTAGGACAGGAATGAGTGGAGAAGGCGGACGGAAGACCCCAACACTAGAGTATGGGGAGGGAGGGGTATTAATATTATCTCCACATATATAAAACGCAGTTGTGAATGTGTGTCTGTTTAGCGTACTTCCCGACATGCAACAAACTTGAAATTTGCCATGTGGGTACTTTCCAGACTGTACACCATGCATAAATTATAAAAAATACACTTTTTTTAGGGGGGGAGAGCTCAATAATATTTTTTGCACGGCAAGTGAGCTGTGACGTCGAATCTGTCACGTGACCCTCGCATGTGGAAGCGTAACGCATTGTAGTGTAGTGGTTAGTGCGCTGTGTATGTGTGTGTCTGTATGTGTCTGTCTGTGTGTGTGTCTGTCTGTGTGTGTGGAAGCGTAACGCATTGTAGTGTAGTGGTTGGCGCGCCGCGCTACGAACCCGGCCACCCGAGTTCGATTCCCGCTCACGGGCCACCACCGGTAACGATCCTGGGCCTCCCCTAGGTCGACTCGGCCTCAAACGAGTAACTGCTGTGGTGTGTCAACATCGCCACTGGGGAGACAAAGGCGGCGGGCGTGGTGAATCCACGTCCCGGGCCAAGCCGGATAGTACAGCTCGTATACTATATTAGAAACCAGTTTTCTGGCTGGATTCCTGGCTGGCGCGTGCCCAAATGCAGGTGTGCGTTGGTGACATCACAACGCGTGTGTGCGTGATGATGTCACCCGCATCCAACCGCGCTGAGCAGGGGTTGTGCCTGCCTACGCCGCGTCCCCCAAACACCCTTCACCCGGCTGTGTATCCCACTTAAACACGATGGAGAGGAGGGAGGGGAGGGAGAGAGAGAGGAAGGAAGGAAAGGGGAATGAGATCAACTGAGAGGAGAGGGGCGTGGAGAGAGGTAAAGGGCGGCACGCAGAAGTCAGAGAGGCAGAGAGCAAAGCGGAAAGAGGAGAGCGAGGGAATGCGACAAGCAGTGTGGGGATAAGGAGAGTGAGAGGTGAGAGAGAGAGAGAGAAACAGGGAGAGAGATGGGGATACAGTGGATGGAGGAAAGGAAAATGTAGGAAGATGTAGAAGAGCGGAAGAAGGAAATTGCTAATGATAAAGACTGCGATGAATCGAGATACTTTGGTTTATGCACAACAAAACAGGCAAGCGAAAGGTGTCGAGAGACAGATGACATTAAAGGCTTGGCTGGCTGATTGCTCATTCGCATATACGACAGTACCTTGCTAGACTGCTTGTAGTGGAAAATTGTGGATGATTTCCGCAATGTATCCAATGACGGGACAAACATCAAAAAACGGTGGCCCTATCTGGAAAGGTTTGATTGCCGTGCAAATATAAATGTCTTTATCTTTGAAATATGAATGTAAGTATGAAGTCCATACGTAGCAAAGCGTCAAGACTTTCTCCAAATTCACAAAACGAGTCGAAGCAGTCGGACGGGCAGGAGCACGCCTCTTGCGTGCGCCGATCGTTCTGCTTTTTATTTTCAGCACTCGCTGGTCATGACGTGTGACGCGCTGTGGGCGTGCATTCGCTTTCTGTGGGGCGACTTACTGTGGTCACCTGCGGCGATGGAGTTCATAGAGTAGACGCTGCACCGTAATATTAATGATCAGAATCGATCGTTTCCTTCCGCAACATTTGTGATTCAAAAAAAATAAAGCGAATGCTGAAGTATTGTGTAACGACATTTGGGACTGCCTACGTATGCTTGCATATATATGAGGAGGTGTAAAATGTTTCTTTAATATGTTTTATCTTTAAAATATATATGAATACCGTTTTTAGAGGATGATTATGTCTGGGTCGAGTTATATGGTATTTAACATGCATTCTGAAATATGCTTATGTCAGACGTAAAATACTTATGTCAGAACTATGCAATGCTGTACGTTATTCGTATATTACTACAGGTTAACTTGCAAAGGTAATTGTGTATAATAATGATTAAATATTTATTTATACAGTTTTGAGTGCCCTGTATACTTGTACATGTAGAACAAATTCCTTCACAGACCAAAAATATCTTTGGGCTGTACGCCTTTTGGCGTCCTCTGATCTAACAACGTTCGAGACGAGGCTCAAAAGAAAGCTGTCTCTAGTGTGGACCAATCAGTTTCAAGGACATTGCATTTATTATCAGAGAATGTTTTTTGTTTGCATTCTGACCACAAGCATTGTGGTTAATTCAGACATGATTCCTTGTAAAAAGGTTTCAGTTTGGTGTTTTAACATCTTAACACCTGTTTTGTTGCCAGAAAAAAGGGGAAACCCTATTATCATATTTTGATACTGGCAAAGGAGGTCCCATGATGTATTACTGTGGTTACATTTTATACAATTTGCAAACACCCACCGATGTCATAACTTGTGTTGACTGTAAGGGAATTTCACGGAGGGGAGGAATGGCCCAGTGGTTTGATCAGTACGCTGTTCACTCCATCACCTGAGTTCGATTCCTGGCCACGATTCCAGCGGTGCGGTTTATCTGAACCCGTCCTGTGCCCACCACTCGCTTCCGCCAAGCCTGCACTGACCAGCAAGGCGACCGCTGGTGAAACAATGAACTGCAGTGTCGTGTTGAAAACATCAGCTCTTAGTCGTCGTTGAGAACCCCGGGTTAAATCGCGCTTGTCTAACCTGCATTCATACCCGTATAGCGACGGCGCTGCCACAGTGGCTACGTCCAATTGACGATTTTTTCCCTTCTATGTGGACGGGGCACACAAATGCCAATGAAAAAAATGTCAATGTAACAGATTTAATTTAATTGCAGCCTTCCCCAACGATCGTTAAAACGTCAAGTATTTCTCAGACCCAACATTAAGTGGCATTTATCACCTTCAATTTACCAAACATTTGTCTAAACGATCTTTAAGTAGCATTTACAATTATGAGATATATTAATGCGTTTATCCTGTAGTCAATTGCCAAAGGGCTGTAATTTATTACAGTATATCATAGGTAGACAATTGCAAGTAAATAATACTATATATCCGTATTTAACATAGTTATTAGTTTGAGGAAAATGTAATGATTTCATTTTATGTCTATAAAGGTCTTTCTTTACACGAGAGTACCCAGCGTGGTGTGTAATCATCAGTACTGGGGAGACAAAGGCGGCCGGGCGTGTTGGCTTTTATACACCTTTTTTATCCATCCACCTCCTCGTGTGCCGTGTCGGCCTTCCACAAGTGCTCGCGAACAGCAATTGCCCCAACAGTGTTAGAGACGACACGGGGGGCAGGTGGAATCTTTGTTGACCCCCCCCCCTCTTCTCCTCCTGTATTGTGTAGCATGAGCACCACTTGAGATATCAGAACCCCCCCCAATCAGTGATTTGCGAGACGTTTGGCCGGGGTGGCCCCTCTATATAGCGCGTGTTTCCAGCCTTCACGAGCGGCTGCCTCTCATGCATATTCATGGGTTGCGATTTTCATAAATTAGAATGCTCACCCCGCGGAAGCAACATCTGCGTCTGTTTCCCATGAATGGAGAGGGGAGGAGAAGGAGGCGATGGCTCCCCCCTCTCCCCACACACGCCCTTCAGCGAACCTGAGGAATCCTTTTGCCGTTTTGAAACCCGGTGATTGGGCGGCCGTCCCTGTCCTTCGGGCGCGGCTGGAATTCGGAGGGGGCTTCGTTCTTTTCCAACAACAACAAAAAAGCTGACGCCACCCTTACAGCCTGGCAGGGAATCACAGGAAAAGGCACCACTGGTTTGTGCTGTAAACCAATTACACACAACTTAAAGCTACCCGAGCTGCTTCGATTGAAGTTGTTGTGATCTCTGCTTTGCATTTTTCTCGGTAAAAAGAGACGAATTTTGTCTCTTGTTTTGCATGGTAGGTGGGGGGGGGGGCTTCATAATCCTACTTTTCACGGGCTCGCCTTCGCAAACTTGAAGCAAAATGTTAAGAGATATGATCATAAATGTTGTGATTCGCAAATTTGTTATTTTAATTCATTTCGTCGAAGTAAATGAAGATCCAGATACGACACAAATCTAGGACATTAAACTTTTGATGTCTTTGTGTGTGTGTCTGTACTGTACAAATACTTGAAACAGTATTGTATATGGGGAGCGGTAGCGTAGTATAGTGATTCGCGCGCTGTGCCGAATTTGATTCCCGCTCAGCTAACACCAGCGAGGATTATCTCATTCGGTTCTGGGTCTCCCCTAGGTCGACTCAGCCTCAAATGAGTACCTTGTGCAGTGTGTAAAACATTAGTACTGGGGAGACAAAGTTGACCGGGTGTGGTTCTGGTCAACCAGCCCCTCGTGTGTCGTGTTTGCCTTCATAAGTACTCGCTAACAGCCCCAAGTGTCTGTTAACGCTGTAAGGGGGATATTGTTGTCTTTGAACTTGAAATACGCATTTGGCAATTTAGTTAACAGCTAATGGAAAATTTTACATAGGATGTGCAAAGCATGATAATTATAATAGTGCCAATGTGTGATAACTATATATTTACATTGATGAGTAATCCAGTGCGTGTCATTGCCTCAATTAAATCATACGCTTACGCGAACGTGTGAAAATACATAAGAACAATATTCAATAAAAAACCGAATGGCAAAGAATGATTTCCACGGCATATTCTTTAAGCGGGATGTTTATTTCGGTCAGTGACACACACAAAAAAAGAGGAAAACAAACCGACTACAATATAAACCGATCAAGGAAAGTCCTGGCACCGCATCGCCACATCAACGGGCATGTTAATCTAAACTCCCAGTCCCGTCTCAATTTATTAACATTTTGTTCGTCCTAATACGGCGTGGGCAAATTGCCGTGGACACACAGAGAGAGAGAGAGGCAGGCAGGCAGGCAGCGAGAGGATCTGGCTCCCTCCCCACGTGCAGCGCGGGCCTCCGAGCTTGGCAGCTGGCGGCAGGCGGGGTGCCGCGCCGTGTCCGCACGGCTGCGGCCGCTGCCTCGGGGCCTCTTTTTCCGCCCTCCACTCCACCGCGTGGAGGCACCCAACGGACTCACGGGCGTTGTGCGCTCACGTCGTGGCCCACCCGCCAGATCGCTCGCTGTGATGAACAAGCAGTGGCCTTCCCTACGCTTTTTTTTGCACGTATTCACGTTTTTTGTGTTTGTTTGTTCCAGCGGCAATCTGGCAAGCCATTTAATTTGAGCCCTGCTGCGACAGCGTTCTGCATCAGTGTTAGGATTTTTGTTTGTTTGTTGGTTTTAAATAGTTTTCGTGGCAGGAGTTTTTTTTTGTGGTGGAGGGGAGGGTCAGGGCCAATTCTGACATGAGATAGTCGATATTGAGGGCTGTTTCATGTTGTTGCTGTTTACAGCACTGTAAAGAAGATATTAAAAAGATTGTAAAAACAAAATGTAATTCAAGATCATAATTCTGACCTTTTAGGTTGGCCACTGAAGTTGAACAGTGTGATTGGTTTATTTAATTTTTAAAATTTGTTAAATAATAACGTTCCATTTTTTGTATAGGCCTTGCTAACCACTGCACATCACACATCACTCATTCTAAATAGATATTGTCGTCATGCAACACCCTAGGAATTGCAATGCCACTATAAATATTATACTTGTGCATGCACTTACGCATCCACCTGTAGGACTTATCACTAAAAATCACTGACGACAAGTCTTGTGAAGCTCTCTATGAATTTGGAATCAGCATTTACAGGCTCAGTGGTTTTTCACGTGCGGGTGTCACCCTTCAGTCTCTTTCCCAACCCCAGTGCTCCAAGAGATTTGCCAGCACTGGTTTCCTGGCAACAGAAGGGATAACGTCTGATGCCAAGGCTATGACAAGCTGCAATGTGCCAGCACTTTTTACCTGGGAGACCTGCGAAAGATTACGGCACAATCAGATTTGCAGGTCGACTGCACCGACATTATTACTTAAAGTAGAGGCTTAACCCCTTTTATAGAATAATAGCAACGAGTAGGGATTGTATGCCTTTGTCATTTCATTCAACAGAGGTAGCAGCAGATGGGCTGCGGCTAAAGTGACCTATTTTTAAGTAGATTTTATTTATTTATGAGTAACCAGTAGCGTTTTTTCTTGCTATTGGCTTCAGCATCACACTACATGGGAGGCAAATCACTTTTAAATGTAGAACTTTAGTCTGACTCTGTGCAATGAATAAAACCAATCAATCTCTGGGCTATCATTTTTGAGGACTCAAAGTTCAAAGTTTTTTTTATATATATGGCATATAGTTGGTTTGTTTTTCTTATAAGTAAATAAGCATACACTTGGCTATGTTTATGTGTGCCAAATGCCATATATATAGCCTTTCTAGACTATCATAAAAATGTATATCAGTCGTTCAGTCACGATTGCATACATATATTAGATGCAGTGCATTCATGTGGTCATGTACTTAATAGCTGTAGTAATAGAAATGTAATATGTTGCCATGATAAGTATGGTAAGGTATTAGAAAGCGACTTTCCACGCAAGTGGTTGCTACCTAATTATTATCTTAACAGTGGTAAAACATTATTTGACAATTGATGAAAAAATCCCTATTTTTCAACAAACCTTTACAATTTACGCTTTTGTATGCATCCATAGAAATTACATGAAGTCAATGTGATTTACATTGTGTGGTTGAGTTAATTTTTAACCTCATAATGAATTATACGATGGATGTGCAACATTCTCGGAGCATAGTCATAGTGCCTGATGTACTTCCATTGACTTTACCTCCAGTGTTCAATTGCTCAGAATGGAATTCCTATTACATAACGTTTACAATTCTTATTTTTCACACGAAACATTGTATAATGATTAAGCTATGTATAGTCATCCGGTATCCAACCCATATTTTCGGGTATCGTATTGTGGATGTGCACATCATAATCATAAAATACTTTATACAAATAGGAACCACAAACAGTTTCTGATGTTGTTAGTATTAGTATTTTGCAAGAAAGCAACACAACTAGTGCTTAATGAAGTGTAAACGCAGCGAAAGATTTCCCACATTTAAGCATTTTGAGTCACAATAGGCAACAAGCCACCAACAACAATTTTTATTAACATTTATTTACGATAATTTATTTGCAAATAAATTTACATGTACACTTTTGCAGTCTATCAAAATAGACATCGGTTCCATTTAAAAAAGATCAAATAATGAATAAATCCCATCAAATAGGATGAAGAGCTAATTTCATGTCACTGGGATATACACAGAGCAAAAATATATATGTACAAAACAACCGCTAGTGTTCCTAAGCACAAGTTTCCTATTCTCGCACAGAGACCTGCTGTGTGGTAATGAAATGGGACACAGCAACGACTTGAATGTGGTGCACATGAATAAGGTATCACCTATGGTAAGAGGAAAGACTTGATGATTGGCCCAACAAAAAATAAATTGGCAGCAAAACTACATTATTATGTATTTGTTTGTTAAATATATTTAATCACTTTCTTAATACATATCCATCAACTTTCTTCATGCCGCATGTTGTATAAAACGTCTAAGGCATTCGTCTTTACAGTAGGCTGTTTCTTGGTAGAGATAAACTTTATTTTTAACGTGTTTTTTATCATTGTTATTATTCGAGCTTACAAACTGACTACTCTTTATCATCAACGTGGCAGCGATTACAAACTCACACGCAAAAATATGGACTCGTCGATATAAAAGTCTCGTTAGAAATTGCATACAAAAAGCAAGTGGAAGTCAAAAAATTAGTCATTGTGTGAGAAGACAATTAAATAATCGTAAAATTCGCGGATGGTTCACAATTCAAAAATTGCATAGCTTCCTAATTATTGCTCGCAATGACAGTCAGGGACCCAAAAAAATACGCGTTCAGTACATTTATCTTTTTGTTTAAATATCCAAAGCGTCTATTAGGGCACAATAGCGTCGGGCAGGTGGTTTTACATACGCACACCTCTTATTATATACACAAGCACAATCGCACTACAGTCAAAATATTGTTGCCGTTACATTGTGAGTCACGATATACGATTCTCTTACATTGAGGGCTACGAATGCGACGGGCCAATTCTAAAAAAATCACGCGGTCACCTCGGCGTGGCCCCACCAGTTAAATACTCTCGAAACATTTTCACAAATGCGATTTCACGTACAGCAGAAGAAAATATTCGTTTCCCAGTGATACCAGCAGAAGCAACGTAAAAATAAACACGCGTTGTAATGAAACACAAAATAGCAAAATACAAATAAGCGCGATCATTGTTAAGTTTATGACACAGGGTGCCAACATCGTTGAACTTTTGCGCCGCGTGTGAACAACGCAATTGGGAGAGGGTGGGGGAGGGGGGGGGTGCGAAGTTGTTGTTCATCATTGAACAATCAGTTATGAAATATGGTGTTGAGATGCGAGCTCATGAGCAGTCTTTCGTGCTGCGGGTGGATTTCGTAGGGGGCCGCCTCAACGGGGGGGTCACAGCGCAAGCTTGGTGGGGGGTAGCCGGCTCCGTGCGCGGCACCGCCGGCAGCCCCCGCGTAGTGAAACCGATAGGGCTTCTCGAAGTCGGCCGACGTCTCCTGTCGAAACGAGAAGTTCCCGTTGATGCTGAGCGGAGGGCTCAGGGGCGGGTCGTAGTTTTCGGGGCTCGCGCACTCCTGGCCGCCAGCAGCAGCCGCAGCAGCAGCAGCAGCAGCCGCAGCCTGTGCGGATGGAGGCTGCGGTGGCTGCTGCTGCGGTTGCTGCTGCGGCGGCGGCGGCGGCGCGGCACCCGTCTCGAAGAAGCCGTCCAGGGCCGCTCCGTAGCTCTCGGGCCGGATCTGGAACGCGTGGTGGGCGCTGTCCATGGTGCTGTGGTAGGGCGGGCTCGGCAAGCCGGGCGAGTGGTGAAACGCCGCCGCGTACGGATGGTGATTGTGGTGATGGTGGTTGTTGTTGTTGTGGTGGTGTTGGTGGTGGTGTTGGTGGTGGTGGTGACCGCTCATCGCGTAAGAAGATGGACCTCCTCCTCCGCCACCCGCGCCACCTCCACCGCCGCCGCCGCCGCCGGGCGCCTGCATGTGCATGAAGTCCGGGCTCTGCTCTGGCAGGAATGTCCGCGGGTTCAGCTGCAGGCAGCCCGCGATCAAATTGGCCGTGGGCTGCGAGAGGCCCCTGCACAGGGTCTGCACGAAGCTCAGCAGATCGGGGCTGGTGCCGGCGCGAAGGATCTCCGAGAGCGCCCAGATGTAGTTCTTGGCGAGGCGCAGCGTCTCGATCTTGGACAGCTTCTGCGTCTTGGAGTAGCAGGGCACCACCTTGCGCAGGTTGTCGAGCGCCGCGTTGAGCCCGTGCATGCGGTTCCGCTCGCGCGCGTTCGCTTTGACGCGGCGCATCTTGAAGCGCTCCTGCCGCGCCTTGGTCATCTTCTTCTTTTTGGGGCCCCGGCGCTTGGGTTTCTGTTGGTCGTCGTTTTCGTCCTCCTCCAAGTCGTCGGCGTCGTCGTCGTCCTGCTTATCGTCGTCGTCGGCCAGGTCGTCGTTGTCGTAGGAGGCGGAGAGCGAGAGGAGGTCGTGTTGAGATTCGCAGTCCTCGCGGCCGCTCCCCTTCATGTCCTCGTCTTCCGTGAGGCACTCCTCGGCCCAGTTCGAGAGGTTCTCCATCATTCGTGTGGTGTCGGCGCACGGCTCGGCTGTCTTCATACCTTCGATTCAAGTTGTTGCAAAGAAATGGCCGTTAGGAAAACAAAAAGCCATCACTCGCAAAAGTCGGCACATTACAGCCCCTGAGTTGTGTTTGATGTCACAAATGACAACGCACACACACACACATGCTTCCTTGTTCATATAATAAAGTACATTACTTTTGTGAGAACGTTTTAATTTCGTCATTGGTACCACGTCTTGTGTGTGCATACATATACATCGTAATGCAATGAATATACATTTTTCCAAGAACATACTGTATACTGCACGTATACTGCTCGATTCGTTTGTACGATGCTCACTCTTCACGTCGTTTTTTATATCGACACGTGTTCACGCCGATGTAGGCGTGATGCAGTATAACCAATAGCACTGTATCGCAGTTCAACATTTTTGCTAAAACAAAGATTTATTGCCATTATTATTGCAATGCCATTATGAGTATTGTAAGTGCACGCCACGGGTCGTTGCATCTCATCTCTCCAGACGCACATCATCAACAAACCCCCCCCCCCCCACCAGCCGCGCCCCCCGAACGAAAAAAAAATCCCGAGAAGGGATTGTAGCCGAGCAAGTAGATAGCCTATAGATTAGTATATAAGAGACCGATTTGTGAGGCATGCAAAGGGATTATGTAAATGAAAGCTGATTGGCACATGTAATCAGATTATCAGGATTCTGCATCATCCCAAGCCAAGAGATTGGGGTTGGACTCGCTTCGGGCAACTCGAGAGTGGCGGACAGAAATAAAGCGATGAATGATTATGGAAAACGTTGCCTCTTATTTTGTACTCCTTTCTTTTTAATCGTCCGCACTGACACACAAAGCGTGTCCAGTGCGGCTATGTACGCGCCATATAACTAGAGGCTACATGGTTTTTCTGTACTGCATACAATTACAATACTCGCGGGTATATTCAAATAAACAGAAGCACGCTGGCGCAGTAATCCTCGGGGATCAGGTGCGAAATCTGTGCAGTCATAAACGTTGGCGAGCCGGGCTGTTTGCGTGCAGCCTGTCCGGGCGAAATATATATCAACCCCGCACGCGCAATTTTGATTTAAAGCTTTCGTGATTGCAGGGATTAATATTCTTGGTTCTTTCGGTAAAAGTCATGTAGAAGGGAAACAATAAAATAATAATAAAAAATATATTATTTTATTGTTTCCCTTCTACTTGACGAACCAAGAATATGAACCCCGCACGCGGTTAATGTACTATTTGTTTCCTCTATTGTGTACTTCAAATTGATTTAGATTTTTTATGTACTATTCGTTTCCTCTATTGTGTACTTCATAATTGATTTTGATTTTTTTACTTGAAATTTGAAAAGCCAATAACTTTTCCAAGAAAAAAACCGTGGGATGTATGGGCAGCGCATATGCGCCACTGATAACAAACAGGTAGCTTTAAAAGCTTTGTTGTGGTAAGAGCGGTGAAATAAAAAGAGAGACATTGCATCCCGAACGCAGGAAAGTACGCGCATACAAAGTTAAACTAGAGAAGCATTTATATTTAATATTGTTACATAAACTAACTCTAGATTTGGTATGGGTTACATATCCACGAAACTAAATAAAATTACTCAAAAAAACAAATAATAAGTTTATACGTATGATAAAAAATACATTCAATATTCTCCAATAGATTTTCTCACTGCAATCGGTCGCCAGCGAATAATTCCTGTGTAGAACGACACCACCGTGTGTGGCTCACAGACTGTCACGTAACCGATGCGCTCCCTGATGTTCTATTATCATTATTACTATTACCATTCTTCAAGCAGCATTTAGTCCCTACCCGTACCTGTGTCAGTAGCCGGGCGTCATAGGCAGTGCAGGGCTCTGGGGCTCTGCGCGCGCTCTCGCTCTCTCTCTCTCTTCGGCTCCGTGCGCGCCTCGTCAGGAGAAGCTTCAGCGCTTTCCCGGAGAGCCTTCCCATGCCCCCGCTCAGCGCTCTGTCCGCGAATCCCGCCACCAGCCGCCAGATTATAGGAGAGGATGGTGAGCCATATGGCTCCTCCACGTCACCGAGAGCCCTGGCCACGTGGTGTGCCACGATTTGTATTGCAGCCGCGCCGAGTCCCGATCCGCGCTTATATCCCTTTGTGGCCCGAGCAGAAGCCATCTGTCGCTAGTTAGAGAAGCGCCGTAGAGCTGCTATTCTCCTCCTCTAGGAAAAATTAATTTTGCGTCTCGGGTTCCGACTTTTCCATGAGATATTAATAGCTGCGTAGAGGGGGTGAATGCTGCTGCACGGTAATGATATAAAACGAACAACCAGTACACAACGTTGTTCGCCGTGAAATAGACTAGACCGTAGAATTGCTTGAAGGTTTTATAATGTGTTGATAATTGTATAATGCGTGTGAATGGTGTATGAGTTTTTGTGTGTTGGCACACTGTTGTGATAAGTCACGCGGTAGGATGGTGTGGTTGTCGCTATCAGTGCTTAACGGGAGGTCAATCACTTTTCGGAGTGGGATGGTGACAGAAGCGTGGCATCGGCACGTGCTTAGTTTATTGAATACTGACATGTCCATCAATAGTAATGATAATAATTTAGAAACGTTTGACAATCCACTGTTTGTAACGTTTAATTGATATGTAAAGAACGAATTAAATATATCATAAGTACATACAGTTCAAGCGTCACACAATTGTAGTATTCTGTAGCAACGATAAAAAAATAGGATATAGCAAACGTACAATTTATTTTGTTTCATATTGAGGGTAAAATCAAACACGTTTTAATTGTAAACGAGTTGACTCAGCTCTGTGTCTAAACTTTTTAAACACTCCTTTTTTACCAATAAAATATATATAATCGAAACGCGTCTTGAGGGCATTGCAATAACTAAAGTTTATCCCTGTTTTAATTTGCTAAGAATTTACACGCAATGATGTAATACAGTATATTCAGTATTAATCTGGCAGTACGTGAGTTATAACAAGACAATACATATATTATCAGAGAACGTTTTTTTTTGCATGTTCACGACAAGTATGTGTGGTTAATGCAGACATGATCTCTTGCAAAAGGTTTATGTTTGGTGTTTAAAAATCTTAACACACCTGTTTTATTGCCAGAAAGGGTAAAACCTATTATGATACGTGAGTTATAGTTTATACAATTGCGCTTAAGTTCACCCTAATAGTTATTTAATGCCCCCCCCCCCCCTTATCGACTCTTTGAAACGGATTCATGCAACTTATAAACTGTCACACACCGCTTCCTTTATCTATTGCTGACAATTCGCGGGCTATTAAATGCCTCTCCGTTGTCAGATACAATCAGGCGAACTGTCGTGGCACCGCGGCCAAAGCGATTGGCACGTATCCCTTGCGCCGCATGTGCAGCATACAAGCCCCGGGTGTTTCGCCGAGAGGGCCAGAAGTCTCTATCTTCCCTTAAGCCGAGGGCCCCATTTTGTACGCGTAAGCCTTTAAGCCTCGTGATTAATCGATTACTCGTCGGGGCACGCGTCCCGCACGCGCTCCGAGACAAAGGAAGCGGTGGCTCGTGAGCTGCGCGATCCGCGGCCACGCGCCGCCCTAATGAAGGTGGAAATCGAATTATTTGAATTTGTGGGTCCGCGAGCGCCGATTGTGCGCTGAGTGGCGCGCACGCGTGCTCACGGGGCGGGCTGACTCTCTTCGGGGGCTTGCGCCTCGAATCCCTCCTCGCGTGTTTAATCGCGTTATCCCTCGGACAGATCAAGGTCCGTTTGGCAAAAGCGCGGCGGAGACGAGCAGGAGCCCGGGACCACCACCACCACCACCACCACCACCCCCCCCCCCCCCCCCCCCCCCCCCCACCACGCCGAGTGACAGATGGACACGAAGCGAAATAATAAAAGAAACGCAGCGCGCAACAACAACCAAAAACACAATGCCACGCGCAGAGAATGGCTGGGGGGGGGGGGGGGGCGGGGGGGGGGTGGCTGGATGGGTTGGCGAGTGGGTGTGTGGGGTGGGTGGATGGCTGGCTGGCTTGGGTGGCTGGGCATTGATCACTCATTTAGGCTCCGTCATCTGAGGTCTCGAAATTTGGCGGGTAAAGCCGTTATTCGGCGCCTTTCTCAAAAGCACGCCACCAAACACCGCCCGTCCACACCACCCCCAACCACCACCACCACCACCACCCCTCCCTCGCGCCGTCACAAGCGCAGATGAGCTCGGCGTGGCGCTGCTGCTGCTGCTGCTGCTTGCTCCGACCGACGGGACGGCCGAGGCAAGGGTCTCCCGCGTGCGCTTTAATTGCGCAAAAGTTATTATTTTCTTGTTACTTGACGGCATCGTGCGTCGACTCACGGGGCAGTTGAGTGGCTCGCGCCTGGTTTTTGTTTTTGGCGTTCACTGAAAATGCATCACGGCGGTCATAATTAGACTTTAGGTTAGCGTCTCTGACAAAGCGTTAACAACGTTTACTTACCGTGGATTATCGCGTATGGATTTTTTTTTTGCAACGATGAACGTGAAGTGACAATTTTAATGTCATCACACGTTTATCGTGGGTTTTTTTTTTTGGAGTGTGTTTCTCTTAACTTTGGAGAACGGAGAACTCCCAATTCGGAGACTTTATTGAAGAAGGCACACGCCTCGCACGCGGGCGTTCCTAGCAAGACGGATTATGCGCCTGACAGTCGGATTGTTAGATTGCCACCGGGTCCCCAGACGTGGTCCCTTGCCCTTAGGGGCCCGGCTAATTGATTTATATGGCACCTGCGAGATCGTACGGAGATGGGGAGTCAATCGTGCCCAAATAGATCTTTGGCGAAACGGGTGCGCACTGGAGAGGTGTGTTTTTTTTTTTTACAATTCTGGAGAATAATCGTACAAATACTGACACCCAACGCGTACTGCAAACCCCTCTGTGTCCATCCCCACACTGTAGCCATCCCTTGATAAAGAGACTTGTTTTCCCATTGGGTTCGAACCAGAAACACGTCAGATATCGGCTATAAATGAAAGGAACTGTATGCTTACCGTGCTAAAGCTGCTAGTGCAATGAATCTCACCTTGAATCATTAGTCCAGCATTGGCCAAGGACATTACATACAATGCTATGTATGAGTGCTTGAGAAAAACACGAGTGAAGGTTGTATAAAGTAGTGTGCGAGCGAATGTCGAGCACAACACGCACAACAACATTCAACGCCTTACATAAAGCATAATAATGCTCTTGACTCGGGAAAGGCTAAGTGTGTGCCTTAAGGCCCTTTCAGGATGATCTTGCATTGGGATGTTTTGCTAATTTCATGAAAGAGTGCTTGGCACATTTCAGGAAACACTCAAATCTTCGGACAGATTGATTTAATAATCGTTTACTTTTTCATCTGATGGACACCTCATCATAGCCCTACGATAACAGATATTCCCAGGCGGTCTTCCATCAAAGTATATATATTTAGTGTTGTCCTATAACAGCCTGAAGTTAATACGATTCTACTAATAAGTGCAAATTATTAAAATCATCGTGGCTCATGTTATTTCGGTTCAGTCCCACGACTTGTGGAGATTTGGGCTTCATTGCTGTTGCCACCACCTTCATTATCCCTGCCCTTGGCCAGCTTAAAGGTGCTTTCTGCAGTATTAGTAATCGAGTTATTTTGAGCAATTTCCCTTTATTCCGTGTCACCGATACTTTACCTCGCAGGATAGTGTTCATTAGTCCTGCATCTCTGCTGACGTGTTCATACCATTTCAGTGTTCTGGCTTGCATGATCTGTAGTAGGCTTTGTTGTTGTTGTTTTTTTTTTCTTCCAATTTCTCCTTGTATCATAACAGCACCTGGTCGTATGTGTACGGTGTAAAGAATGCGCAGGAACCTTCTGAAGCATCTCACATCCCTTGTCTGTATAACAAATTTCCGTGTTCGCTGTAAACGTCCAGATAGGCAAACCCGAAGTGACTGGTGTTCTCTAGAGTTTTGGATCACATTGCCTATTGGGATGTTTTATTGTATTTCAGAGCGTCTTCATGTTGGGGGGTGGTGTGGCTGTTGCCTTTGCTACCCTTGAATAAACATTCTTCTAGAGATGTTCTATCATTCATGATAGTCGATCCAATGTAATTAAATGTATGTGTATCCCTTAGGATTATCGCTAATCCCCCTAAAACCATAACTTTGCATATCTCAACACCTATCTCCATACTATACTAATGGCTTATTCATCCAGTCATAATGTGACATCGTGTCGATTCCTCTAATTTACCTCCTCTTGGATGAATGTCGTTGGCAAAGTGTCGGCTTACTATGGTCAATCAACCAGCCACTACAGGTCATTTAAAACCCGTGAAGTGCTTCAGCCTTATTCTTTGGGTCTTTCGGTAAAGTCACGTAGATAGGTTCACGTTCAAAGACAATAACAGACAACTACGACGTTTTGATCGCAACGCAAGCGGACCTGATGACGACCGCTTGTGTTGCGATCGAAACGTCGTAGTTATATTATTTGAACCTATATACGTGAACCTATCTACGTGACTTTACCGAAAGATCCCAAAGAATATGAATTGCTGCAGTCACGAAAGCTTAAAGTCAATGCTTCAGCCTTGCCAAACTCCAACTGTTGTGTTGAATAATTCCTGCAGACGTATACCAATGAGCATGGCACATTTATTTATGTTAACGTCCGCATATTTATTCAACACTCGTGACGAGTTTCATTTTCAAGTTCATCTTTTCAAAGGCACTCGAACCCACTGTCATTCACCTCACGGGGTATGCGTTCACTAGATAGAGCTACTTAGTATATTGTAGCTCTATCTAATGTTGCTCTATTGAACTAAATCTTAGTCTTTAAATGACAAAAGTGAAAGGAACTGGAGAAAACACAGACAAGAGAATCTCTCAAATCGGGTTTATTTGTTTTTATTCAAAGAAACATACTCTATTCTAGATTTGAAGCTTTCGTGACTGCAAGGATCCATACTCTTTGGTTCTATTTCGAATTAAAGCTTTCGTGACTGCGAAACGTCGTGAGAATATTATTGTGTTATTTTATTTTATCAATTTATTATTTTATTCTCATTCTACGTGACTTTACCGAAAGAACCAAAGAAGATGAATCTTTGGTTCTATTCGGTAAAGTCACGTAAAAGTATGAAACAACAAAAATAAAAATATATAAAATTCACGATGTCCGGCCACAACACAAGTGGCCTTCATCAGGTGAAGGGACCAGACTGTCTCGAGGACAGCGCTGGAGTGAACACAGCCAAGCTCAGACCGCGACCAGTATGATCCTGCTAAACTCTAGTTTAGCAGGATCATACTGTGCAGTACAGATTACTGAAACCCACGTGACGCCTGTCGAGGTACTCTGTATGTCTCTCTCATGCGGACTCAATCTGTGTAGCAACTTTGCTCTATGTGTACTATTGCACATTCACTTTGAATATGCGTAACTTGTATTTTATATGGATGAATATGCGTAACTTGTATTTTATATGGATGAAAAGAACAGTGCACAGATGTGCTATGGGTACTGCTCCAATCGCTGCTTTATACATAGTTTACACTCTTTCAACTTAAATCAAGTTACGCATTTAAATACATCGTAGAGACAATACGATAGTAAACATATAATGTTCGATATGTAAACTCAGCTTATTGGACAGTATTTTGAGTATATTGATTATATTGATGAAGTTTCTATTTTAGTGTTATCGGTTGGCTATATAGTAGTCATTATATAGTGTAGTGTATACCCAGTTACTTAATGTAAATAGATAAGCTTATTGGAAAGTATATTGAGTACATTGAATATATTAATGTAGTTTATATTTAGTTTTTTTCACATCGGTAGAATTGGTAATTGCAGTTCTTTAGCGTCAATATGCTAAATTCCTCTGTTGATACATGTAGACTCAGCTTATTTGAGAGTATATTGAGTTTATTGATTATATTGATATAGTTTATATTTTAGTTTTTTTTATCAGCTTACTATATGGTACTCATTATATAGTGCAGTATATACCCAGTTACTTAATGTTAATAGCTCAGCTTATTGGAGAGTATGTTGAGTACATTGATTATATTGATGTAGTTTATATTTAGGGTTTTCACATCGGTTTATTATATGGTAGTAGGGTATTTGTAGTTCTTTAGAAATTCATGTTTTGTTTTCCACATCATACACGAGCTTGATACGCGGTGGTTTGGCTGCTGCAGTTCTTTATTATTAAAATTTCCCTCCCTTTATTACTGCTAATCCTACATAATACACTAGCATAATATGACTTTGGGACAACCCACCGCCTATACATTCCGCAAGGAGTGACTAACCCCATATCTGCATTTGTCATCAATATGCTAAATTCCTCTGTTGATATGTAAACTCCTTTGTCAAGGCTCTCTCCTCCCTCCTACCCAGCTTAAAATACGCTGCCAAGCTTAGCAGTGTTCATTAAGATGCTGTCTTTCTGACAGCTCTGTTTCTTCACCTGAGGACGGCTGCTTGCGTTGTGGCCGAAACGTCGTGATAATTGTATTATATTATGTTTTATTTGTATTCTTTTATTATTTCCCTTCTCCGTGACTTTACCGAAAGAACCAAGAATAGTAAATATATACCTTTGTTGTAAAAATCCTGTCAATACACCTCTTGGAAAGAGCAAAAGGAGTTCGTAAACATAAGCAAATTGTGATTTATATAAAAAATATACAGTGTACATATAATCCACAAAGTATCGCAGGCCTCGAGATTCACCGAAATCTGCAATAAAAACTGACCAATCCCGTGCATAGAAACAAAATTGGGCCATCTTCGAACACTCTCATTCTGCCTCTGCCTTAGTTCGATTCTTTAAATCTTGGGCATATTTACTGAATCCTAAACTTGCTTTAAATGCCAACGCAACCCGAAAACGAGTGCCCACACAACGTTGGGCACGGCGTTGCGTCATATGGTTGCAACCGTTGGACCAGGCAGGGGTCAAGCAACCAAAAGAACAAGAAGAGACATCTTTTTAGAATTCGGTAATAAATACATTAAAAAAACCTCCAATATTTTGAAGAGGCGCAATGCACGTGGTGAATCACGGTCACGAAGCAGTCCGTAAAGAGCCGCATACAGCTCCGATTCCGCAGGTTTGCCGACCCCTGCGTTGGATCAACGTTGGCCCCAGCAATGGCCTGACGTGTTATGCTTTTACTGGGCACTCTCTGGATATGCAAGCCGAGTCCGGGGACCGTTTGACACGATTGTTGTTTGTTTGTTTCGCTAATTAAAAAAATAATATACGTAGTTCTAGTTCACTGTGACGTCCCTGCCACGTTTTTTTATCGTCGATGCAGTGAAGTCAATTGGAACGCAATGGCGTTGTACTTGGCCGTGAGTGTGATGTACTGTTTTAATCACCGTAACTCCAAACGCGCTCGAAGGTAGCACGCCAGTGATGAAGGCATTTCCTAAACCTTTATATCTGTGAATAATTAACACAACAAATGCACGTTTACATTAATAGCAACCGCTTTTGCGCATCTAATGAGTGATCGCGATCACCGTACGAGATCACGTGCTCTAAAACCGTCGGTTTGAGAACTCCTTTTGTAAAGGTCTTACTATCATTCGACTCGTGTGTGGCGCTTTAAGTGCCTATTTAAATCCGTTATTGCTTACAATTTAATTTACGAGGCACAAAGCACATCAATATTCGCCACGTGCTGTCAACGGTATGTCGATACACCTTATAACCAAGAGGCCCACCCAGCTGCACAACGCAGTAGGATTGCATATTACCATTACACTGAACACATTCGTGAATAACAGTGCATCAAAAGGTGTGTGGGTGGGGGGGGGGACCTATAATAGGCGACGTTGCTGGCAATGACCCTTCATGTTGTATAAACAGCCATTGCCCGAATTGTCGCCTATGATATAATTTCCCTTTTCAGACAGTATAATGAACTATTTAGATTTTTGTGCTTGCACATCACTACCAACGCATTATCACCAAAATCGAATATTTAACATATAGGTGGGAGGGAGGGACGGCGACGAGGAGTAGGAGTAGAATCTCTCTTGAATCAAATAAAAAATAGCCGCAGGTGAAGTGCCGACCGCCAGCCCGGCACCATCGACATCGCTTCAACGTCACTGCAAAACTTGGACATCGCACCCGACTGCAGGTGGAATAACTCTTCGGGTCCCCTTGTGTGTGTGTATATAAACCGTGACGCGTGCCTGCTGTAGACTGACTGTGATGTGCAGTGAAGTTTATTGCGGCGACAAGCCGGCTTTTCGCCGCGAACATCTGATCGGAAACAAACAAAATAGCACAATGCGTGCGGGGTCACACGGCACTCGCGAATACGGTCCCTTACCACGAGCTGTGGCATCACGCCACTGGGCTCTCGGGCGTTTGTTGATTTATACAATGTGACGCATGCACGTACACGTATATTTATTGTACATATATATCTTGACTTCCTCCTCTTTCCTCCTGATGACGATCGCTTGTGTTGCGATCGAAACGTTGTAGTTTTTTTTGTTTGTTATTTTCTTTGAACCATCTACGTGACTTTACCGAAAGACACAAAGAATATGTACATATATGTGTATTTTCTGCTGCGCGGTCAGTTAATGGATAATAGTTGGGCAAACAGGTGTCGGGGCTTGCGGACTTTGTCGCGTTGTAAACGTGCCTGGCCCCGCACGTCGCAATCTGTGCTTGCAGGTGGCGGAGACGGCGAACCGCCGCGCTCTTCAGCACCACGGACAGCGCACGCTTCTTGCCGCTGTAAATGCGGCAAACAAATTAAAAAGGTGCAACAGTTTACGAGGTGTTATGTTCACCAAGTATAGGCCGCGCCACAGAGGGAGCGGAGGGGACCCCACACCCCCCACCCCCACGACCTCCAAGACCCCCACACCCCTACTTCGCCCCCCAACTTGGAAGACCTGGGGGGGGGGGCGGGGGGGACGATGGCCTTGTTCACCAACTAAAAACCCATGTGGATAGGGAGGTAAACGCGTATGGCAGTATGTTCAGGAGATAAATGGCAACGTCGAGGTCTGCTAGCCACGAGCGGGCGTCATGAGAGAGAGAGTTCGTGTAGTTTTTAATTTGTTGTTGAAGTACTACAGTGGTGTACCCTATGGTCCCAAAGTTTGAGCTACATGGGAACACATTCGCATTGTGGTTTGTCTTAAATTTCCCATATTTGAAATGTGCGCATCGGTCTGTTGATGTTTCGATGTGGGCCCCCCCACGGTAGCAGTGAAGGAGGGGATACTTGCTTGGGTAGTGCCATCCGAGAGGATCTGGAGCCGTGCCTGTTGATGACAGCTGTCCTTGTGCAGCACAAGGTGACACAGCACTGGCCTGAAAGTGGGCATTAGTCCGTCAGTAGGGGGGAGGGGCTATGTTGCGATTGGAAATTCGAATTATTGCATTTTGAGAATGTTATTAAAATTTGGTAATTTTGGACCATGACGCCAAGACACATGGCCGACTGTTTTTCGAATAAGGTCGTCGGATCTTCAAAGTCCACTGTGATGCAGACAATTCGTATTAATGGATAATATACTCACAGTAGTACTGAGCATGTTTATTGAGATGTCTGGTCTTTTGTAATGTATTGTTGCTTGTGTGATGAAGCTGGAGGGCCTTCCTTAAAGCTTTACTTGCGCTACTGCCCCATTTAAACACCACCTCGCCTCGGAGATAGAAGTCCCACATTGGCTCAATCTCTTCACGTCCACATTTCAGACACGTGTGCTACCACATGTGTGCTACCACATGTGTGCTACCACATGTGTGCTACCACATGTGTGCTACCACATGTGTGCTACCACATGTGTGCTACCACATGTGTGCTACCACATGTGTGCTACCACATGTGTGCTGGCTTTATGTCACCTACATACGGTGCTGTCATGGGCAATACGGTCAGCTTGACATCAGGACTGGAGGGGCATCATTTCTAATTTGGGTTTAGCTCAATGAAATCATTAGGTGCATTGCTATCCAAATTGAACAATATTTCTACACTTATGAGTTAGCTTGTCAACAAATGCGTTTTTGTTATTTGTGAATGATTTGAATGTGTTTTATTGGTAATTTCCTACCTTAATCGCTTTATTTGTCATTTTCGTTTATTCCCTTAATTTCTACGAAACAATCCATCAATATGCCCCCGAAAAATCTTACAGTAAACCTCTTTTTAGCCACACCTCTATTAAAAATAAAAGAACCACAGACGTTGATTCGTGCTTTTAAACAAAGCACCCAACATAAGCAAGCTATCACTCTCCTCTTAGTCATCCTTGAGGATAGAGAATATCAATCGCGGCTTCATGGACAAGAATTTCCTGGGTTTCATCTTTTACCGGAGCAGTCAATTCCTCACAGACCGACTCAGTGCGCACGACAACAATCCCTCGGCTCAGCACTCGATGCTACGAGGAAAGAATAAACCTGGCTATTAAAACCCTGGCTGCTGTTGGTTTGCCACCTGCTCAGGTGGCGAATTATCGCCTCATTTATTTTGGCCCGAAATTGGGAAATCGTATGCATAGCTCTGTGGTTCTAAACAGGTCTCAGATGATGGGAGTTGGCTAACAGAGCACAATATTAATTAATGACTGGAGGACTACATTTTTTACATTTGTCATCTCCCCCGACTATTTGCTTTAAATAGCACCTAATGATTTACCTGAACCACTATACAAATTGATTCCCCTTGCAGAAATTAATCTTATTATGAGTCTGTGTTATTTGGGGGCATTTTTAATTCCCTGGGCAATACTTTCTTTGAAACAAAAATAATACTTAATGTCCACTATGAAATATTCCTTTTCTGTGTAGAATATGTTTCTGAGCAATTAAAACGGCCACGAAAAAGTTAGCGGTAATACTGTATATGTTAATGTTTGTTAAAAAAAATCACGTCAATCGCATCTTTCCACCCCAGTGAACATTACACGTAATGACTGAAACTTTCCATTTCAGAATGATTAGTCCCGTGTTCTAATTACGCATGCAAAAATGCAAATGAGTGTGAATTAATTACTCCGCTAATTAGTTCCTTGGTATTTTCAAGTCATAAATCATGCTGGGATGGCGGGGAGACATGAGGCTCGCTTTATTTGCATTTTAGATGAAGATTTGCCTCTATGTATCATTAACCAGGACGAATTTAATCGCAATTGCGTTAATTCCCTTTATTTTGAGAAAGCGCACTCTAGCGCGGACACACGCTGTGTCCTGTAGGCGTCCGTTAATACAATTTACATTTTGGACGGTTCAAGGCAATCTCTGTAATACGCCAATCGTGACGAGCATCCGATATGGAAAGACTCGCGAAAGAATTCTGGCGCGTTCGCTAATTGCCGAATCTGTGCCAAGTCCGCGAAATGAACCTGCGCCAGGGAGCGTCCCTACGGGAACACCGCCTCTTCATTGGCATATTGAGGTAGAGGCAGCAATCCGGTGCCTCCAGCACATTCAAAATGCATTTTAATTCTGAATTGCCTAAAATGATAATGGTCTTTAGGAAGCCACGTTTTTCAAGCTTTTTTTTTCTTTCTTATAAATGTACGTTTAAAAAAAATGTAACGGAGCAAAACAAAGAAAACACTAAAACCGTCCACCGGCGAGAAAGTGAAAGATGTTATATCACGCTACATGTGTAGGATGAAGACAAGGGCACAGGAGGGCAGCGTCCGAATGAGTGGCAGTTTTGTTTCTTGGTCGGTCGGTCTCTGGTAGAGACGCCATCTGTTCTCTTTCGGAGGGGGAAAGGGGAAAAAAAGAGGCAAGCGAGAGAAACAAATCTGGCGTCAGTTATGCAGAAATACCACCAGCAAGAAAAATACCAACAAGAACACCGATGATGTATTCGCTAATTGTGTTTTCAGATAATGCACCGTTTTAAACGTCGTTAATTTTACTTCTGATATTTGAAAACAACTCCATACAAAGAGACGAAAAAATACACGTTTTAATGAAACGTACACTCTCTGAGATAAATGCTACACGCGTTACTGCATGAACCAGTTCTAAGATTTTAAAATATAAAACTGAAATACGTACAATTAGATTTGTTATCCAAAAATTGCATTTGTGTTCAATTGCTGACGTTATCTGCTACATCTTACCATATGCTTCACTGATATTCATTGGAGTGATTTGGTGTTTGTATAATTCGTGTGCATGAGACAATATCATTCACGAATTATGTGGCCACAATTGGTCGAGCTCCCACTGGTTGTACGACTGAAATATAGCTTCAGCATCACCAGAAGCGTGTTTGCCCACCTAGGGAAATGAGGCAAACGGTTAACGGTATGGCAGCTTATGCCCCCTGACAATACCATGAGTAGCAGCCTTCCAGTGTGTTTAGCAGCTGACCACAAACAGCTCTCGCCACTGCTCACGATCGCATCCCTTCGAGTGGACATCATCATCGTCATTGAGAGTTGAACTTTTTTCCTTCCTACGGGTTATTTTCTCATTTTAAGTAATAAACAAAAAATCTAAGAGTCTTCCCTGAGTCGACACTGGTAACTTACCACAACTACTCATCATTAATCCTAGAGGGACCATGGGCATGGTTAATCGATGTGACCAGGAGTGAAAATCGCCAACATTCTGATTGAGTCTAGATACATCTCATTTAGGGGTAAAATATCCAGCAACCACCCATCAAAAGTAGCAAAAATAATCCGCCCTCTTTTATGACATTTCTCAACTGTATCAAAAAATATTAAATAAACTTTGCTTAGTGCCCATTACCAGGTGGTGTTTGCATGGGGCAAACAAACGCCACTTTTGCTGATGATAAACAGTACGGCTGGAAAGTGCAGACGGCAGCTTTAAGTGCACAGACTTCCCCTTGTGCCCTCCCACGTTTGCTGTTCCCTGCCAATTTCCACATCACAACGATTTCTGCAAGCTTTGATACTCGTGCTTAGTGACAGATATGTGTCCTACACTAAGAATCTATATAGGTCTTTTTTTTGTTAAAATAAAATCAAAACCAAGAGTGAAAGCATTACCACTCTCACAAATGTTAAAGAAAATATGAATATGGAAATGCACGTGATATATGTTTGCTTTCTACTCTTGCTGCTTGGCAAGTCCTAACCTGCGTAACCAAAATGTTGTACGTTCTAAAGATGAATCTAAGGTTTCCTCCCATTGGTGTTATTCAGAACAATGTTTTAACAGAATGGTACAGGCGGTTTAGGGTAGTGGTTTTGTCATCCAGTCTAAACATTGTACATTTTCTATTCCTCTCCTCCGAAAGTGGTGAATGACACAAAATACGAGCCAGGCATAGACACTTTTGTTGGCCAATACTTCCACGGTGCTCCAGCAATATTCTTCGATTCTCAATGTGTTTTGTCGAAAAAGTTTTGCAAGTATTGCCTCTAAAAAAATACACACAAACCACATAAACATCTTCTCACAGTTTAATTGATTTTAATGAAGCCGAAAACACTCAATTGTCTGTAGCAGGTGTGAATCAGAGCATGTTAGGTGTTTTTAGTGATTTTATGCCAGCCAAATATGGGGCTGCCACTTTTATTTATTTGGTCAGGTCAAACAGTGGAAGTCTCCTTATCAGAAAGCAATGGTATGACACTCACATGTGTGTGGTGGAAATTCCACATTCCCATGGCACCAGTCAGTCTTTCCATTGGATAACCAGTGTTGCCTTCTGATTTAGTGGTACTCCCTTTATAGGCCCGAAGCGGACGAGGGTCTGAGTTGAGGCCCTGATGAGATTTGAACTCACAACCACCCAGACATTTAATTTGTTAAGGGAAAAAAATATTTCAGGTAAAGTCCCTTCATAGCAGAGAGATGATCTCTCTGTTCCAGGCAATGGCCTTTATTGATCTATCATGCTATGAAGAATGGCCATTACCTGTCTGAAACATTCCATTTTATATATAACTATTAATTGAGAGTAGTGCTATTGACACATGTGTTGGGTTTTTATTAATTGTGCTTGTGCACCATTGCCAATGCAGTATCCCAATATGTATTTCTCAAATACAGGGCTTCCAGTGATCACTGCTTTTGGCGTTGATTTAATTATCAATGTCTCTATGCACTCTAACAAAGAACGAAATCCATTGTTCAACTATTTGATAAATATTACACTTTACAATTCCTACCACATAACGTGCAAGGTTGGACATTTTTGACAAAGCAATGTTTTGACCATGGAATAGAGGCGTTTGTAAGAATTATGTATGAGTGAAAACGTCCCTTTCTCATGACATGACTTGCTCTATCGGTCCCTTGCCACCTTCACTGCATACAGTCACAAAGACGGCATAGCCCCACAAATAAACGCGGCAGAAAGTCAATACCGGTTGGGGACCATCCCTTGAAATGGTGCCAGGAGACTAACGGAGAAAGGACAAAGCTATGTTCAGTCCCAATGCACTATTGGCTCCCACTTTATAAAGTATTCTGTAATTACGGCAAATGTAAACTTCCTGATCAGAACCCTTTAAGGCCTCATGACCATTCCCGTGTAATGATCTGTACAATTTAAAAATCTATACTGGATGCCGATGTCGCCAAATACGCCTGTGGTGTTCTATTTGTAAACTCAACTATAGATCATTGTGGTCTCCGATTATGAGATCACACTTACCTTTTATTCGATGACGCGCTGTTTACAGTGACCATCACATTGCAGGGAATGGGTATCAATGAGTCATTTGGTCTGAAAATATTACCGTCTCTGAGCATGGATGGCATATGAGTCTACATGAAAATGATTGCTATGTAACATTACATTTGCATTATTTATTCTAAACCAAAATCTTCTTCTATTGTTTAGTGGTTCCCTTCCTTTTTATAGAGACGATGGGGGCCATGGGAGGTCTTCCAATACCACACAAATAGAAACAATATTATTCATGTACAGGTTCGGTATACCTCATAAATCCCTAAATACCTCTGCCATCCTTAAATAAGCTCGATTTTTGTTTTAGTATCGTGCATTATACACAATCAGGTTCACGTGAAATAGTTCACATTTTCATGATTTACTTAGCTTTTTTAATATAAAAATGCCTACTTTTAGGATGCCCAGTTTAATCAACATGATGCATTTTAAAAACACCCCACTGGGCGTTTGCACTATTTGTGATTTTTCAGGATGCCTCTGAACATGTTTAATACTTTTAATTTCAAAATGGTGTAGATTGCATGAGAACAGAGAGTTTTTGTAAACGTGCAATTAATTTTTGTCCTTTTAATGTGAAATAAAAATGTGTAACTTAATTATAGGACAACGATAAACATTGGTGCTAAGCGACACTGTCATCCATAGAAGAGGTTTTATGGGTTAGATTTCGTGAATATGAATGCGTAGTTAAACCCGTCACCACCCGACACAACAAATTAGTAAGGTTTGCTACGTAAACAAAACATGCCAATTCGTTACTAGTACAGCACACTGGTGTGTTTGAGAGTAAACCCACAACATTCACAATTTGATTACGACGTTTCGCCAGTAATTACAACTAGCATCATCAGGCCTGATGATGCTCGTTGTAATTATACACAACAACCAACCCCCTGCAGTTTAACAAAAGGCGGCTTAACTCAGCCCTCCCCCCCACCCACGTCACTTTCTGGCTCCTCCCCCTCCCTGAAGCCGTATATATAATCCCGGCTGTCTTAGAGCTGTCCACTTGACGTAGATATTCTGCTGTGACTGTTCCACCTGAAGACGGAAGCTTGTGTTGCCTCCGAAACGTCGTGATTTAATTTAGTTCTTTAAAGTACAATTATCTAATTCAAAACATAACACAATTCAAAGATGTTTCATTTTAAAACTTCAAAACAGAGCTTCGGGTGCTTGCGTGAATGCTTCCTTCGTATGCAATTTTTTTCGTGACTTTCCTGGCCGAAGGCCGTAAATGATTGTGAGGGCCGCCACAGGCGCCCCCGAACAACCCCGAGTTACTAATGTTCAAGCAAAGCAGCCACGACACAGCACTCCCCAATAGCTTTCACATTTTTGGTGTGAAATGCCAACGCAGTAACACACCGATTTAGGCCCTCCCGCTTTCCCTATTGTCGCTGTAACGTACCCTACTTATTGATACCAAATCTCGTTTTTCGTACACATTATCATGTACCTCGCCATCACGCCCTCGACATTCACGAACTTTAACGTTAAGGCCCAACATTGTTACGTTGCACGGCGACGTTCATGAGCCAGAGGGCGCCCAAGCGTTAGGGTCGCTGACTGGCTCGAGTATTTTTATCCCCCCCCACACCCCAACATACCGAATTTACGGATACACATTTTTTTTTATACCCGTGTAAACTATTTCTTATATGATAAACAACTAATAAGCATACATATAGTATAATAGACAAGGTAATATAACTTAACTAGCCTTTTGCCCCTCCAAGGACGGGTGTGTATTGCAGTAAATCTGAAATATTTAATAGAAACATTTGTTCAGCTCGTGATTATTAACGAGGGGTGGGTTGCCCCATGTGGAGTGACGTCACCTTTCATGGTTATTGTGGAGGGGTGCGGCATGTGGAGTGACGTCACCCCTCATGGCTATTGGGGAGGGGTGCGGCATGTGGAGTGACGTCACCCGCTCATGATTATCAATGAGGGGAGGGATGCGGCATGTGGAGTGACGTCACCCTTCATGGTTATTGTGGAGGGGTGCGGCATGTGGAGGCGACGTCACCCGCTCATGATTAGTGGAGGGGAGCGGTGCGGCATGTGGA